AGCGTCGTGGTTCGTACGCATCATGATGAGGTGGAAATCATGTTTAACCTTTGCTGCTTTTCCCACGGCCACGTCGTCTGCATTTCCAGAATGGGAGAGTCGACCTGAGCATTTTCAATAGTCTTCTGCCACCCGCATGAATTCGTGTCCAGATGCGGACGTGTAGGTTAACCATATCGCTGTAGGTAATGCGATAAATTGCTTTTTTCCGACAGCGTTGGATAGACGGTAGCGGCGGTGGTTCGGCCGAGGTCGTTCATCAGCTGAGCTCCAAGCCTCCAAGAACGAATAGGGTACACCATCGATGGGGAAAAAAGGAGATTATTGCAAAGTGAATCAGGTCCGCCGCAAGATCGGTGGCGCACCCGAGGCAAGACAAGGCCGGTAGCCGCTGTGCCGCGCAGGACGAACATTGGCTCGTCTTCCTGGATTGGGCCAGTGGCCAATCAAGGAGGGGTGGTATTGTAGTCCATAGCTTCGCTGCACCTGCAAACTGCACCTGCACGTCTCCGGTCGAACGGGATGTGGAGATCTTGAACTTTGAAGACGTTGGAGGGGAAAAGTCGTGATGGACGCGAAATGAAAGAGTTGCACCGACGCAGCGGGACGAGGATGATCTCCAGGTACAAAAGTAGTAGCGTACCTTAAGGTACCACGCACCCACGGTAGTACGGTAGGTACGGATACCCAGCCGGCGCTTTTTGATGAACAGGGCCGCGAAAGCAGGTGCCACTTACGCTAAGCCTTCTCCAGATCCACTAGCCCATCCCGTCTTAGGTCGGTTCCTGCCTTAGCTTAACGGTGAATTCAAGGGAGGAAAGAATCTGGAAGACGAGGATGTAGAAAGGCAAGAGAAAGAGAAACGACATGGACGAGCACTTGCCTTTTAGAAATATCAAACATCGTACGTTGGAGACGTCACTATGTACTAGGTATGTTTTCATTCCGTGAAATTGACTCTGAGTCTTGCAAGTTCTTCTAAGCCTCCAAACAATGAAGGGAACCTTCATCTCACTTCACCACCACACACGACGTCGCTCATCCTTGATTTCATCGAACCACAACCCCCCACCTCGATTCCTCCTAGCATCTTGCTAGACTGGCACGAACGACTAGGCCACGGAAGACCCATGCTTGCGATACCAGACTATGCGCCAATAACTTCCGAAGACGCGCTTTCTCGGCAATAGACATGACAGTTGGCCCCGGTATTCTGTCTCCATTGATCGTCATTCAGCTGGTTTTTCCTGTCAGATCTTTTCTACCTCTGCCCGCACATCTACGCTATCCAATCGATCGAGATTACGAGAGGCATTCTCATCGACTTCCATCGCGAACCACGACAACCCGGCGCGATCAGACTACGGGCACGTAGTTTCGGCCTGCATACAATAGTTTGGTAGTTGCGTGCCCCTCTTCGACCAGTCCTAGTTTATCTTTCAGAAACGTACGCGGTCAACACACACGCTCAAGCACGGTGACCTCGAATGATACCGGAACACTTGCTCAACTCTCCCTTCAACCACAACGGACGCCGCACATACATATTAAACTCTTTTGCCGACCAACGAGTCCACCCAGAACCCACTTAAGCTTTGGACGAAACTTTTACCCCCCACATGGGCAGCCCAGTGATACTCTCCACGGCATTGGGTCTGGATTTGGGGCACGTAGATCCATCGTTACGAGACGGCCTGATGGACAATGACGGCTTGACAGATGGGCCCCTGAGTCTGGTTGAGCCTTGCAGTGAGAAAGACAACTTGACTCAGTTGTCTGATTCTGACTCTGGTAAACCAAGAATAGGTGGCAAGCGCGTCCAAATGGTCATGGTCGCGCCCACGATCACAAACTTTGTGACGTCGGCAGTTCTGTTTTCATCTCATCAGCTGACGCCTGCTACTGACTTCGCAAATTCGGCATTGTTTCGAGGCTTGCATCTGGAAACAATGGCTTTCCGACTACTTTGACTGGCAACAAACAGGGTTTCTATTTTCCTTCTCAACACGGTCTCGATTTCTCGATGGAGGTAAAGCACGTCCATCCACTACACTATTCAATGGCTGATCTGGGTCGAAACCGCGCTGCCGGCGCCGCTATTCCTCTAGTCGTGGTCTCGGCCAGGCGCCTATGAAATTGAAGGGTCCACACATTCCTTTGCCCGATCGAACAAGCCAAGGGAGAAGAAATTTCTTTCAGCATCGACTCTTGCCATGTGCTTGATGACAGCACAGGTCACGCAACAGCGGAAGCTTACGAAGCGTTGTTCTCCTCATATTTTTGGGCAGCTGTGGTTGAATGCCCTTGTTCGACTGCGCGACTACCGATGGTATACTTGCAAGTTGCCCCATGTTCTGCGCCTCATCGCATAAAGGGGTCCTCGCATCCCTGCTCGCTTTGATACGAGCAAAGCCTCATTGCATGAGCCTCCCCCATACTGGCGATCCTGAGTTTGCTTCCTTAATTATTTTGTCTTTGATCTCGATACTCTGCGTACTTTTCCGAATATTGGGCTGAACACCCAAGTCGGTAGCTTCTCGTGTGACTCTGGAAAAGCAACAGCTCAATCTCGGCGCCACGATGGCATGCCGCCAACTCCGGACCCTTACGCCTTCCCGCTGCTGTTCGACACAAATCATTGGCGTATTCGTTCCATATTCGGACGCCGTGTCTGCGGACTCCCGCGAGCCACTGGCCACCCAGCTCTTCTTCGTTCCTTGGCATGGCTGGTTATCGGCCATCGTGGGGCAACCTCGTCGAAAAACGATCTCGTACCTGGGGCGGCATGTGGAATGGCCCGGCCGGTTGAAGTGGTTCCCCTGAGCGGTTCGTCCGACGTTGTCTGGAGGGGCAAAATCATGCCGTGACCCGGGAACAGGCCTCCCCTGGTTTACGACTCTATCCCTTTTCAAAGCCGGGCACTGACAAGGACTCAACTAACACCATCCATGTTCTACTAACAACAGCCGATTGGCGTGTTGTGTCGACTCATCTGAGCCTGGGCAACGGCTTCAACTTACTGACGAGGGACATCGTGTAATACCCCTCGGCATGTCGTAGGGAAGAAGCGACGGACGAACCCCCTCGTCTCGCCCAGACGGTCACTTCGTTCCGCGCCGTCCTTGCGAATCCATGAGGATGTGTATCCTTCTGGAGCTGCCCGGTAAAAGTAGCGGACTCCTTTGGTCCTTTGACCGGACCTTTGGCACCAACGTACCTTGGAAGGACCTCATGACGCTTACCATTTCGCTTCGTCGTCTGAGGCATCCGTTTCCCGCATCATCGGTTCAACCTCATCCCACAGAATAAGTGACACTGCTGCGAGAGCCTCCGTGTGGCCACAACCACAATGACATTGTCAACGCTCCCCCGCGACCCAAGCACCTGCAGCCGAATCGGGGCTCTGGACTTCCCCAGCTTTTTCTCCCAGGAGAAATTACCCTCCAGAAGACACTTTGACCGCCGCCGGGCCAGGCAGAGAAGTTCCATGAAACCTTCTAGGACGTGCTGACGTGACTGCACGTGGATGGGCACGGATGTGTTTGTATACATAAACGGATCTCTCCCAACCTCCTCCTGTTCCGGATTTGAGTAATGTTGACCAGTGTTCTGATCAAGGCACTACGCGGCGTCGGAGCCTCGGAAAGAGTTGGTGGCGAGACCACGCAGTCGCCGCTCAGTTGCTGTCTTCGACATTGACTGGTCATTATCTCTGCTGCGAAGTCATCTAGCCCGTCCATGGTGATATTCTCTTCGGGCTCTTCCTCAATTGTCAACGTCACGACGCAACAGTGATCTGTAAGAAGACAGTCGGTTGAATATGGGAACGGTGTTTGCTCTCCTAGCGGAAGGGATGCTATTCTTCTCCCTCGACAGGAGCAGCCGATGGACATTTCTCCAATGACCATGCCACCTGCACTCTCCTTTCTCTCCCATCCATTGATATTCATTACATACAACAGCACTGGCCTGGACACAATCCATCCCTCACGACACCAATCACACAATCTTCTAGGCGAATCCAAGGTGAACATTCTGCTCTCTGGTGTGGAATAGAAACCCAAGCTCGTGCAGAGAATACCCTTGATATCAAATAGCATTGCAATTTCGAGTAGTTGATTTATCCCTGAATGATACGACGTGTTAGTCAGGCTCTGTTTTTGGATGAGTTATCGTGAGGATACCCTGGCATTATATATTTGAGCTTGTGTGTGCAATATTGAGTCTTCTTCTTGACATCATGTACGTCAATCGATATCGCGGGTTTGGGTGATTCTACCTCCACGCCGCAATCAGGCTTTTGAAGCCAACCCTTGATATCATGACCAAGGGACCCCCTTTGCAAGTGATATCCATAGGGGGAAATGTATTGAATCTTGAAGTTCAAACAACCACCCCACAAAACATGACTACAATAATCCACGCTCATCTCTTCTCTTGTCTCCGATATGAAATGCCGTCAAAAAGTAGAATCTACTTCGAAACCGACGACAGACAAAGGATCATAGAGGCTACCTCATGAACATGTACCGACTTATACCACCTTTCCAGCCCAATTGATTCGGAGCTTCCTCTCTTTTCTTGCCCCTTACCCCAGTGGCCAACGCAGAGCTCTGCATTTGATGCCGACCAAATCGAAACGGTTTGACTCCCTCAACGATTCAAGCCCAGCGAAGAGTTCACGGTCACGTCGTACATCATCACGGAATCATGGTAGACGGTGATGAGAATATAATTCGACACGTAACAGTACAGTGTAGGTGTTTTTTCTCCAAACACATCAAAAGCGGTGTCCTCTTGATTGGTTTCGCAGAGGACGTGGTTTCGGAAAACACATCACAACGCCGGCTCGTTTCCCAGCCCCATCCCTCTTATCCCATGGGCGGTATCCATGCCAAAAACCTACTCCTTTTTTCTGGGTACCAGGAGAATGAATATCTTGGAAACCTCCAAGCCCCTCCGCCTTGCCCAAACTTACGCTTCAATATCTTATACGCTTCTCACCTCTTTGAGACGCGGCTTGGCTGTCTGTCTGCCGCCATTCTCCCGTGTCCCATAGCCTTCCCGTTTCGACTAGACTTTGATGTCCTTTCAGGGAGAGACTTCTTACGCTTGAGCAAGCCTCTAACTGTCTTGAAAGGCAGTACTAGCAGAGCGACCACCGCGAAGAAGGGCATCGTGATGATAGCCCACACGGATTCTACGAGCCACTGCATGAAGCCCGGCCGAGCGACGCTGTTTTTGGCCGCCGCTGCTGCCAGCGCAATGGCATCGTTCAAGCGGGTATCAACTGCCGCGAAACGTGATTCGGTCTGGAAGGCAAGTACCGTCGCCTTTTTCTCGTATCGCCGCACCGCCCGATTCAGCGCATCCAGATCGGGTTGGATGGCGTTCCGAACATCGCGAGCAATGGCGGCCTCTTGCTTGATTTTAGAATTGTCCGAATTTCCATTGTGCTTCATCGGCGTCGGCTCAGGCCGTGACTCCAGCATTTCCAACCGTGCCATGAGAACCCTCATCTGATCTGACGTGGCGCCATCGTCCTTGTACGGATTTACGTGGACATCCCGCTGCAGCTGAATGGTCCTGCACTGCACAAGCTTCATGAGATGCGAAATCGGTCGTACCTCCGCAGCCAAGAGGAAAATCGTCAAGTTGTAGTTAGAGACCAGGCCCTCCGAGGGCCGACTAAGCTGCGCGCGAATGGCATGCAGCAGATATGCGCCCAGCATAGGAAACATGAAGCATGATACCAGGGCCAGAATTTCGTGCACCCATAGCTCAGCCAATGCGTCCTCCTTCTTGTTTCTTGGCGCCGTCGCCTTGCGTACTCGTTCCTGTACAAAAGACGTAGGCGTTGTCGGTACTTCGGACGCTTCGTCGACGCTTCCGTTAGTTGTGTGGCCGTTGGTCGTCGATGCTGCCGGCGAGGGGCTTCCGACCACCTGCTCCGTCTCGCTCTCATCGTCAATGACGGCGCTCGTGCTGATCTCTGCCCGCTCTCGTACTGCTTGGGCCGAGTGGTACCAATTCCTGGTGGCTAGTGTCAGCGCTCGGATGGTTCTGTTTTCTATCGAGATCGTGCCGGTCACGATATGAGGGGCAATAGAGCGTTAGGCTTACCATGGATGTGTCACGGACCAGTGCAGGAACACGGCCGACAAGCCCAGCAACATGACGTCCGTCACAACGGCGCTGCCATTCTTGAAAAGCAGGCCACCGACCGCGGGTAAGAGTGCAAACGCCAAAGGAATCGAGGCCCAGTTGGACAGTTCGTCAGTCGATGTTGATGGCACACCGTCTCCAGGTCTGGGGTTGAGAAAATCTCTCGCATCGCCAAAGCTATAATCCGACAAGGTCGAGCTCCTCCTCCTCCCAAGGCCTCTCTCGGCGAATGAGTTCTCTGTTGGGATATGGCTGAAAGGTGGCCGCCGGCGCACCTGAGATGTCTCGTCTACCGTCACGGCGCGTTTAAAGGAGTGCCCCGAGGGCGCTGGTGAAGCTGTCGTTCCCGATGACGAAATGGTCTGCTTCCTGCTAGTGTTGCTTGTCGTTGTGAGGGGCGAAGTCGGACTCCGAGAAACGTTCTCGTCCGACATGATGGGCGGCGCAAGTGGTACCAGCTCGAATATTCAAACTTGTTACTGCGTAACGCGGCTCCTATCGTTTCTTCTTGCGTCCTTTTCTATTATTTCATAAGTCGTCGATTGCTGGAAGTTCGATGCGAGAAGTGGGAGTCCGAGCTCGGCACAGGCAATCAAGGGGTTTTTTGAAGGCTCCTCATCCGACACACGCCACGTCCTTGAGAAAACGCCCAGGAGAAATGCTCTTGTAAGACGCGCTTTTGAGCCCGAGTAAAGGAGAGGGAAAGGAAAAAAGGAGGAAAGGAGGAAGAGGGGGGGAGAGAGGGAAGAATGGGCGCTAGGAACAAATGAGGAGCTGCGTGTCTCGCAGCACGCAGTAGGCGTGTTGTAGACACTGCAGCATGTGCGAGTGAGCGAATGTATGTGGTGTGTAGGTATGTGCGACAGAGACAGTCGGGTCAGTCAGTGGTGTGTACCAAGACACCAAAGGGCGAAAAAGGGCGAGAAGTGAAGCGCCACGAGCTGAGGATTCAGGCTGGCGTTCGTTGGTATGTCGCTGGCGGGAATGAGAATGGGATGTGGTTTTAGTCTCTGGTCTGTCTCTACTCTCTAGGCTTGATGTGGTGGCGACTTGACTTGGATCGCCCCTGCCTGCCTTAGCTAGGTAAGGTACCGCGAGGTGATTGGGCGGGGAGGAAACGTCCGGCGACTTTTCTGAGTTGGAACGAGTGGCCGAGGTACCGTGTCCCTGCTCGGCGTCGCGGGTGTCGCAAAGTGGAATGGAGGGACGGGGATCGGGGACGATGAGCATAAAAGTGGAAGAGGACGAGGAGGTTTGAGCAGCGAGGACGAGGAAGAGGAAATGTCGGGGAGATGAATTAAAGACGGAGGAGTTGTGAGGTGGACTTGGCTTAATTAAGGTAAGGTAGACTGACAACTTGTCATTGGGGATCTTTTGGGAAGGAAAGATGAGGTAATGTAAGCTAAGGTACTTGCTTTCAAGATCCAGACGGAAGCACGGCAGACTACCTTACCCTACCTCACCTTACACTACAGTTAGGCTACCTCGAGATAGCTACTGTGGGAAGTACCTTTAGCTGATGGATGCAACTCCACGTCTGACAGCAGAGGTATGGCAGCTAAGGTACTTGGTCTTGTAGCTGGCCGACCCGTTGCTTGATGTCACCAATCCAAGGCAAGGTACCGGGGCTTGACTGAGTACCTAGAATTGGTGTCTTTTGTACGGATACCTTCACGACAGAGCCTGGAAACAACAAGAAAGTAGCCAAGTTGTCTGAGAAGTAATAGCACCTATGCCAGAGCTAACTTACCTATTCCTAGCCAGCTAGGTAGAGTACATCTCCGTTTCTGGCTTGAAAAGAGCTCGCGCTCACGCTGATGGATGCTGACGACAGGGATGATGATGCAGTGATGCAACCTACCCGTGGGTCCTCTACCCCCATTCCCCCGCTCCCGCTCTGCCCGCATCACATCCCTATCCGCATCCAGCCCTGAGGACCCTGTTTAGATCCACAGTGGACGCCGGAACTGGGCCGGGGGAGAGGGGAAACAGCGGAGGGGGATGGACCTGAGCTTGAGGTCTCGCACTTTCAACTTCAACCGCATCCACTCAAAAGGTATACATCGCGCGCGCGCGCTCGTGCGGCACAACATTGCATTTCCCTGATGGTTCCGTTGCACATGTCTGTTGAGATGCACTGCAAATGTCAGCAATGCGATAAGTAAAACCGAAAGGCTACTGCTCTTGTCCATCATCGCCTCGGCCCATCGCGTTAGGCTAGTGGTACGTGAAACGGCCATCCCATCCCACCACTTCGCCTCTTCGGCGTGCTCATCTATGGATACATACCCAGAGGTACCGTAGGGCCTTGACATCGATATTCCCGTCATCTTCATTGGTAAGAGGTCAAAGACTAGACTGCCCGTCATCTGCCGATGCCAATTTCACCTTATAACCTTATCTGGTCATTCCACCTTGGCCTCTTGATCCGACTCGTCACTTGGCCGCACCAATCTGGACCACGTTCGCATATCAGGAGCAGGACAGGCATCAACAGATGAACGTCTTCTCAAACTCACCAAACATGCCTCGGCCACACCCAACATTTCCTCCTTCACATCGCATAGCATTCCGGGTTGCGTCGACGACCAGTGGACCACGGATCGGCAAAAGCAGCAGACTTTTGTGAACCTCTGTTTGTCTTCCATCCTGCCGCCCCAACAAACTGAAAGTGCGGGCGATCCAGTAACACCTGTGATGCACCTGCAACCACTTGATTCTTGCCTCTGCTCCGATACGCATGTTGCCTGCAGTCAGTGGTAGCCGGATGGGAGGGAACCACACTGTCTTCCCATTTCATCATTCGTAATTGGTGCTGGCACTCTGTCTGCTATGACCATAACCCCGGAGTAACGGCGAGCGAACAGACGTTGCGACCACTTCGTCATGGATTGATGTCGGGGGCCGCGAGTGCCACGGGGCCTTTGCTGTTGTCTGTGCCATCGTCTAATTCTTGCCGCATCAACTACCCCCCAAGAACAAGGAGCAAAGTCTGCCTGGTTGTGTTGATGTAGGTATCGAGATGACTGCCGCGCCATTGATCTCGGCTGAGCATGCGAGCATGTGGTTCGACCACTTCGCCGAGGTTTGTCATTGCAATGAGCTATAGTCTATCCATGATCTAGCTCTGCCCGTTCTTGTGACGAGCCACCGCGTTTTGGTACAAGATATGTCGATTCTTCTCTCCGCAAGTTTAAAGGTTGACAGACATGTAGCCGCTCGTTGATTATTTTGAGCGAGCCGGGACCACTGGGTGTCGCATGCATTTCTATCCCTCGAATGCGTCACGCGTGGCACTACCTATTCAAGATGTATGTTTCGATGTCGTCAGAACCAATTCAACTGAACCAAATGAGGTGCGTCAGTCCAACGCAGGCATGGGCAGTTCCCCTAATGAGAATCAAAAAGACAGATCGATTTCGTAACAAATTGGGATTCCAAAATGTACCTCCACAGGCGCGGTTGCACAGAAAGGGATGGGGGGCTGGCTGAAATATGTCCAAGAGACGGGTGTCAGAAGGAACCCCGCAGTTCTCCATGTCTTTGCGTTTGTCTCGTCGATACTTGTTGCCAGCCATCGATACGACATCTTGAGTGAGACAAGGCATCCACAGGTTCGTGAGATTCCCCCGACCAGAAGGAGATTGCCAAATGAATCATATTCCATGATCCTGCGAGGTCGGATCCTTTCCCCCGGTTGAGCTCTTCCAGGGCATCATTTTCTGCGATGGACATCAGACTGTCAAATAAGTAGAGAGCTAAGAGTGGTTGACTCTCTTGGTTGGGGACCACTGGCATAGCACGCTCGTCCCACTTCAGCTCAGTGGTAAGCCGAGACAATCAAGAAGCTCGTCTCTTCCGCTTGCGAGGTGGATGGTGTTCTTTCGCTCATACAATCCGATTTGTGCAGGGTGCAACAAGTCTCTGTGTGTGTGCAAGGTAGAGGAACATCGAAGTCTGAACGATGGGTGTCGATTCACTCTCAACCTCCTAGTTTCTGCGGGTATTGCTGAGGCTATCTGTGAAAAACTGGCCCTGGATTATGTGATCGTCTTCAACTTATGGTTACCATGTTCCGCAAAAACAAAAGGCAATGCATTCAGAGAGGATGTTGAAAAAGGCGGCTCTGTCGGGAACTGCAAGATCACCGTTAGCACCACAAATTGTCCACTGAACTAGGATCAGCAATGCGTCGCTAGTCCTTCAGGCGTACCGCAACCAAGGTTGTTTGTTTGTAAGCTAGTAAACAGATTGGTGGTATTGGCGCCCCGCTTTCCAAATCTGAACTCTTCAACTGAAGTCCAATCTGCCGTTCTACTCCGTAAAGATGGATCGATTGAACCTCTGAGCATCCGCATTTGGCTGCCTCGTAGATCGGCATTCCCTATTAATGCTTATTTGCCTGGTGATATTGGCATGTCTTGGGTCGGTTGGATAGGCTGATGCAACACGAAGGGAAAGTACTGCGACGCTGGAGTACAGCAATTTCCAACAGAAGTTCCTTGCCGTCCACTTTCACTTTCAGGAACCGTGAGTTTGGGTTGTTTGTCGTTGGCAAAGTCGAAGAGTCTTCACGCACAGACAGAAGAGGTGCGACGGTAGCCGCCTGATCATCGCGAAGAGACAAGACAACGGCCGCGCGATTAGGTGGCTCGGGACCAGTTGACGACCCGGGGGCAATGCTTGTCCGTTGGAAGTTTGCTGGGGACTGATGGCGTGGCACAATGCTGCTGCTTACGAAGCAAGAGTCGACCTGCTGCTCCAGAGTCCAGGCTGTTGTTGAATGGGGTCGCCCACATCGTAGGGAGGGCATGAGAAGGATTGCTCGGAGCCTCGGACGGCAGACTGTTGTCTCCCTCAACCCGACGTCGCGTTGATTCGACGCGCCAGGACGGGAGGGCCACAAAATCCTTTTTCGCAGTTGCGCCGCAATGTGCCATTGGGCAAGACAGGCTAGCCAGCAAGGCGCAAATTGGTGTCTGCCGACGCGGACAACCCGGTCTGAACCCTGGTTTTTGGTGGCCTCAGCGAGCAAGGACAACCAGGATGGTTTGATGGGTCCTGGAGGTTTAGAGTGCGTCACCCGGATCCAAGATTGATGGAGTGCAGTGTCGCCGTCAGGACAAAGGCGAGCCCGGCTAGAAATCTCTGCAGGATCGAAAATAGACAATTTAAAGCACCTTGGACGTTGGCTGGGAAGACAGGGAGGCACCTGCCAGGCTGAACGCCATCGAAGCCAGGTGGGAGCTGTGTGCGAGGCAGGCCGGCGTCATATATTGATGGGCTGGGGACGGGTCGTTGGAGAGGGATCCCGTGTCGTGTTGTGCAGTTTCTAGATTTTCTTTTTTCGCTTTTTTCGCTGTTGGTGCGACTCAAGACCCAAGACCCTCCACAAAACGACGGTTGAAGCACCGGCGGAATCCTCGAGTCCTGTATCTGTCACAGGAACCGCTTCGCAGGGCCATTGGTTATCGATATATCCTGCGCCACTCCGCTTGTAAAGCCTAACGGGAAACTTTGGTTTTAAAATTCATTGATTGTCTCTCTTCAACCCACGATCCCTTCTGCGACAGTTTCCGCGGCCGACGACAAACAGCCCTACTGCTTGTCCGACAGCGTGAGAGCGTGAGAGCGTTTAAGCAACGACGACGACATCGGCGCGGTTGGTTGTTCTTTCTGCTTCTTGTGGAGAAGGACTCTGAAGACCGGCGGATGAGTGAACAGACGTTGGGATAGCTTGGACGACGAAGCAGGATCGAGAAGAGACGACGACAAGAGCGAAAACCGACGACATCGAATATACGACGATTCGACGGTCAAAACGACGGCGACACACTTGTGAAGTGCAGCTTAAGTGAAGTGGGCATTGAGCTGCAGGAACGTTGATCCCGGGCCAACAGGATCCGAACCAAACAATTCGGGCAGCAGGAAGGAGCCAGGAACCACGACGCAGAGTCACAGAGAAAGGACGATCCTGCCGTCCGTTCCTGCGCATCGCGGCACCCAACGAGCAGGAACTTGGGAGGGAGCTAAAGCCTAGCCCGACTTTCCTATCCGTACTCCGTACCTTCTTCCCACGCTTCCGTCCACCTTCCCAACATTCCGGGCAGAGAAAGCGCAGCTCCTGCCTGCTCACTGGCAACTGCCTGGTAAGAGTGGGCGGGCTTCTCGGGCTCAGGGCAGTGGAGGGAACCTCAAGGAAGGTCCCCCTCCCCCTGCTTCCCTCCAACCAGCAGCTTCCCAAAATGCTGGGACTGAGAGCCAGAGCCTCCAGGAACCCAATCTCGGCCATCTCCTCCCCCCTGAACGCACTCTCCACTTTTCACGACTCCACGGCCGCCTCACAGTCGCCGCCCAGCTGCAACCTCTGGACAACCTGCTCTCTCATTCGGGCGCGATTATTCACACTATTCACTACTTTCACTTGCAGCAATTATCCATTGCTTCCTCGGCTCAAATCCAACACCACCCTCGCCCTCACCACCACCGTTGCATCCACACGGGCATCCACATCCACAACCACCAAAGCCTTGACCTTCGAGCCTGCTGCTACCAATCACGCTCTTCGTCCGCTTCTCCCTCTGCCATTCACCATTGGACGCTTTGCCCACGCTTGCATTAAAACAACCACCACCACCGTTCAAGCGAAAGCCAAAGCTGCAGTCCGAGCCACCGTCTGCACGTCGTCGCCTACGCATTTCTTTGTCCGGGTCTCCACATATCTAGCTGCTGCAAACCTAATCGTTTTGCACCTACGACAATTGCTGCTGTTGCTGCACCCATTATTCCTGTGCGACGCTTTCCTTGGTCGACTTTTCCCCAATACCATCCCGTCAACCTCCCCTCCAACCCGGCGACCAATTCAATCACCCCGTTCGCTGTCGACATCGCCGCTGCCGTTTTTGCCGTTGCCGCTTAAAGAGGCCCTGGCGACCTCGACGAGCCTGGCCCAGGCGCTGCTGCAAACTCCTCGACAACCAAAAGACCCATTCTCCACCGTGCCCCGTAAGGCCGTCGTCCTCACGGCGGCCTTCGTCGAACCATTCTCCCCACGGCTTCACACGCGAGAAACAAGTCTCCGTCACCGGCCACCGTAGATGCATTCGCAAATCCTCGCATCACAACGCTTTCGCAGCAGCCCACATATCCCGGCGCTTCGCCTGACCTTCAAACTCCAGTAGCCGCCCACGCCGCCGCCCTGCCCCAAGCTCACACTCCATCCCTGCTACGCCAATACGACCCCAAAGAGTACTTCCTGCAGTCTCCCTTTCGCAATCGCGCCGCCTCTTCTGCGGCCCGTCGACTTCCTCACCTTTCCGCTGCTCGTCTCTGGAATCCAACCAACTCTACACCACGCCTTCCCGATAAGCCTACTCTTCGCAAACGACGTCCTTCGACACCGCCTCCTCCCGCCGTTCCTCTTTCGCATCCGACTCTCGATCCGTTGTCCGTTGACCCTGCCGACCCTCTCGGCATCGGCGCAGGCGACTATCCGCTGCTGACTCTTCCGGAGCAGCGCCAAACGCGACATTCGACATCGAATCGAAACAGCCTTCAAATCGATCGCAGTGGGAGTGGTGCCGAGCATCGCATCAGTCTACCACCATCTGTGCGCCATTCATACGACGGACGAAGGTCCGCTGATCCTTCACCAACATTCTTAGATTCCGACGCCCACCCTGCCAACGAGGAAGAAGAAGCACCTGCAGAGCCTCCTGTCGAGACCCGAGTAACCGGCTTGAGGAAACGTGGGCAGAGTATTTCTGACCCAGTCATACGAGATTTCGCCATAACGCTCAACGACAAAGGGAAAGGAAAGGCAACCATGGAGCAAGGCGCTGAGAATCAGGGGCGAGGGGCTTCCAAGGATTTGGAGCGCGGACCAGATGTGCTTCCACGCCATTCAAATGTGTCGGCTGGCGATGGCATGGGTATTGGGTCGGCCATTTCATCTTCCAACTCATCGATTATGGGAGAGGAGCTGCCGCCAGATTTGGGCGAAGAATGGGGTCCGCAACACCCCTGCTTCCCCCATATGAATCCTCACGTTCCTCTCGACTCGCCAGAGTACCACAACACCCGAATCATTCGCATACGCCGAGACTGGTTGATTGAGGGAGACTTGGCCCCGACGTTTTCCAACTTGTATCCTGAAATCTTGGATCCGGCCGGCTTGTCAGAACAAGAGTTCCGAAGGATCATCGACAAGCTCAACGGCGAACTCATTCCTATATTCAGCCCGTACAACTGGAGAAATGTGGTCGATAGCATGCTCGGACTCGTCACGGGTTGGTTGTGGGATGATTTGGGGTTGACGGGTGTCAAAGCTCGGCTGAAGCGCCTGGAACGCTGGATTGACCAGTGGAACAACGAGATGGAAAAGACAATCGGCAATGAAGACAGTTCAATGGCCCCACGAATCATTTCACTAAGAAAGACGGGGTACATGACAGTAAGTTCTAACTCACCGAACCTACATACAATTCTGTACTAACTCGGGGAAAGCTCGACATACAAATCCCAGATCCGGAAATTGCACCTGCTCCTAGCACACCTGGCGGTTCAAGGTCTGGAAGCCTGCCAATGGAGCCTGCAACCGCCGTAATGGCATCATAATTTGGCAAGGCGACTCTTCTGTCTGTCCTCTGCTTAACTACCTTCTTCCCTTCGACTTCGTATTTCATCATACACTCTTTCTAATCACGGATCGGCCGCGGCCTGTGGGACGAACCGACATGAGCTTATACGACCGTAGCCTCACTTCTTCACGAGGCACTCGATATCCATTTACTACTACCCGGGGTTATTTTACTCTTTTCCCATCCCCCACCCCTACTACTACTATTACCTTATACCAAGGCATGGCGCGGCGTTTTAGGATCCCTTGGCTGGGACAGTCACGAAATGTGAAGCAAATGATTTCTACGCGGGTTTTTTTTCGGGGTTCACCTTCTGGGTAAACTCATGTGCTTTATATGCCAGAACGTGCGAATTGGGAGCGATCCTGAAATGAGGGGAACCCGTCTATAGTCGGGATGATGAAGTAGGAGCACTTGAGCTCGGGGGACCCCTGTAATTTGTTTAGATACCTGATGTGCTTAAAACTTCGCTTTTTCCATTATGCAGATCTCTCTGTTGCCTCTCAGTGTGTTGACCCCAAGGTGACACCTCTCAATCTGCGTGAGGCTATTCTAATCCTTGTTCGTTAGCACGGCTAAAGAGCTCCTGCGTATTCCAACGCAGGGATGGGCTGTGTGTGTTGCCCTTGGGGATGCCATATCACTCCCGCCCTGCCTCTCGCTGGGAGTGGTGAGTGGAAGCTTGACCTCACGTGTATTGTCTCCGTGTAGAATATGCATGCTAAGAGCGAGTGAAACCCAAATTCATGGCCTCCGGCAATGGCCGTTTGGCCGAACACCCACTGAGGTGTGTTGGATCTACCTACCTTAGTACCTAAGGCAGGTAGGTACCTGACCAACTTATTCTCGACGCGGGTTGCTCAAAGCCAGCGGCTGTCCTACCTAAGGCATCTATCTACCAAACTGTGGTCCAGCACCGGAATATATACAGGAAATCTGAATACACGCAGGAGGAAAGCCCATATATACCCCCTCAACTCTAGTCCAGTCACCAGCTCAGCAGGCGCCCCTCTAGGTCGGGGGGTCAGGTCAAACTGGCTGGGTGGTGGAATGGTTCATGGTCGCCAATTATTCACGTCAACCAGCCTACTCGACGACAGGCTCAGCACATACGAGTATCCGAGTTCGAATCCCAGCATGAGCACCAAGAGATGTAGCCACACCGGTGGTGAACTCTTTTTTCTTCTTCTTTCTTTCTGTGGTTTTGTACTTGAATTAAAGAATACCGTAAAATCTAAGATAGTATATAGCAGCGAGGAAGGAGGTCGAGATAATTTCCAAGACGATATCGTTATGCGATGCCCTTTAATTATAATAATATCAGCTGGGTGGGCTGCTCAACTACTTAGGCACATACACTTGAGTAAGTAAAATAGCCTTAGAGATAGATTTTGTTGGATAATATAAAGCGCAAGTGTTATTTAAAGTTATTAAAAAAGAAAAATGAAGCAGAATTGTTAAAGAATGATGGAGATAGTTGGATGATGTGAAGGTTGAATACTCCTCAACCTGTGCACTTCCGGTAAAGCGATTAACTCCGATGATGTAACCCCGGTATAGGAATAAAACCAGATCTAATTTCAGGGGTCAATGCAAAAGCTTCAGGGACCTGGCGCCTTACGCACGAGCCACTTTACAGCGCATCAAGCTGAGGTGCCGTTTGCTTCCCCCTGGACCGCGTCGATGGAACGCGCCCACCGCGAACGAAATCGACAGCTCCCACACAGGCACTTTAGCTTCCCCCCCAAACGAGTATCTCGCCAATTTCGACACATCACCACCATCTTTTGCCGTCCTCTACCTAACATTCTTGACACTCCTTCAACCCAAACTCCATTCTTGAATCAAGCAAAAAATGTCTGCCTCCGCCCTCTTCCGCCGCGCCGCCGTCGCCCCGCGCATGGCCTCCGCCGCTCGCGCATTCAGCACCACCCCGTCCAACAACGTCGCCCGCATCACCATCGTCGGCAACCTCGCCGACGCCCCCGAGGTCGTCCCCACCAGCACCGGCCGCGAGATTGTCAGATACGCCGTCGCTAGCAACAGCGGGCCCAAGGATAACCGCCAGACCAGCTGGTTCCGCGTCACGAGCTTCGAGGCTGAGGGCCCCCGTCGGGATTTCCTTCAGAGCTTGCCCAAGGGGTACGCATGCACTCACATCCACACCGCGGTGATAAGCTTAGAGGGAGGCAGAGAGAGGGAGAGAGAGGATGATGGCTACTCGAGGATTTTTAGAGTGTGCTAACGTGTCTTTTTGAAATAGAACTCTCGTCTACGTCGAGGGCGAAGCTGCTATGCGCGCCTACCAAGACGCCGAGGGCAAGAGCCGCAGCTCCCTGAGCATTATCCAGCGTACGTCTGCGTTTTTCCCCCACATACCACCCCATTGGAAATCGGGTTTCGAGTAAGAGATGGAACTAGGCTAACATGAAGTCACAGGCTCTATTGAGGTCCTCAAGCGTCCTTACAACGGCAACAACGGTGGCGAGGCCAGCGAGTAAATGCGCGCCCAATACAACAAACGGAGTTTCTCTTGTGCCATGTACGAAACGAACGACAGACGAGTGTACCTTGAAGAGACTCTGGCCTGAACTGGCCTCCCTCCTCTCTCTATCTCCACTCTATCGAGATTTTCCTTTATCTTTTTTGTGTACAATGACCTGATAAATGGGCTGGTTGAGGCGTGCTGTACGAAAACTCTTTTTTCTAGGACGATAATTGATACCATGGGTTGCTCCTCTCACCTGCGCCTCTACTGTGATCTTGCGCTACATTTGCTGTAGCTGTTCGAACCATTTGTTCCATTTAAATGCTTATCAGGTCAACTCTAATCGCCGGATGTGCTCTCCTTAGACGAGCGTACAGCTATCCATGCATCCAAAGCCCGCGGCGACACCGCCCTCGTTGCTAGTATCGCCCTTAGTGCGGAGCAGATAGCCTGCCTCTTCGTTGTGAACCACCTTGCCGGTGCCCTGATCCCACACCGTAGTGCCGTAGATGCCAAGCTCGCAGATGACGCCGCCTTCTTCGAGGTTGCCGTTGCGGAGGATGATGTTGTCCTGCTTCGGCGGCGTGATGAGCTCCATTAGGATGTACGAACCCCAGTGCGTCTCGGGCGTCTTCTTCAAAAACTCGGGAATGTCCTCGCGGTAATGGTTGTTGCCGCCGCCCTCCCTCTGCGGCTTGAGGACGTAGCTCTTGCACAGCTCCGGGTCCTGCGCGATCTTGCGCGCCTTGAGACCGGCCTCGGAGGTGTCCATCGGGAAGATGTTGGTGAAAGTCTCAAAGACAGCGGCCGTGCTGGGTGCGTCGTCGGGGATGAAGCGGCCAAGGACAGAGGGCGAGGCTCCCCCGGCGGCTGGTCTCGGCGTCGCCAGTACTTGCTGGATCTTCTTGCTGCCGGCCAGCTGGGTCAGGACGGTGGGGCACTTGATGGCAGACGACCTCTCGAGGTGGTAGCGGGCCTCCCAGGCGCTCTCGTCCGGGTAGTCGGACGGGTCGTACCAGCACCGCAGGTACGCGACGGCGACTTCGAACACCTTGCTCGGGTCCCGGGGCAGCTTGTAGAGCAGCTGGCGCTTGGGGGTGTCGGCGACGGTGGTGTGCTGCAGGAGCTCGGAGAAGGGGATGCGGAAGACGGTGACGGGGTCGGCGGCGTCGTTGACGAGGGCGTACTCGAGGTGGCGCTGGTCAAAGATGTTCCTCTCACCGCCCTGGACGACGAAGATGACGCACTTTTTGTGGCCGAGTTCCGATGGGCCGTAGGCGTCGTAAGCGGCGCGGATGCCACCGGAGAGGCCTTGGACGCTCTTGTTCTCGGGCAGGTTGAGGGACCCAGACTCGATGGGGTGATCCAGCAGAGGGTACTCTGCCACGGAAAGGAACCTATGTGCGTTTAGTATCCTAGACTTCCCTCTACTTCTGAGATGTGTAAGATTACTTATGGAGGAGCGAGGTTCGGGATGAAAGGCCGCCAAAGGATGAAGCTATCGTGTTGAACTCGACCTGCTTGACTTGGCGCTTAGGTTCGCCTGAGGAGGTATCCTGGTGGACAAGATAGTCTGATCTGAACAATCCCAGGGAGAGGCGCTATGCATGATTAGTCTCATTGCCTGAAGCATTGGTAGACCACATACTTGAGTATATCCCTCCTTCTTCACTCGCACATGGGTATCCCACAGCTTGCCGATAAAATCGTCGCCTCCCTTGACCCTACGCGTTGTCAGACTTATTCACTACGGTCGTTTAGACTACACTTGATGCGGGACTATCAAGCGGGAGTGGAAACATACACATCCACCATGGCACTCAGAAACTCCTCATCCCTGCTGATGGCGGCATAGAGCTCATTATATGTTTTTTGCACGGCTCTCGCCTGCTCGAAGCATCCCTTAGGGAAAGGACTAGGGAACAGAGTTACGGGTACGTTGACCGCAAGAATACCTTTGGGGTCCGACTCCGGCGTCACGACCGCAGGAGGCGGCCGGACTGATAGGCCATTGCCGATGGCCCAGTCCTTGACGGTCTGGACGAGGGCGTCTTGCTCCGACTGGGAGAGCCGGGGCGGGTACTGTTCCCTCGTCAGCGTCAGAGTTGCCATGCTGCTGGTGAAAGCTTTCTTGGAGAGACTGAGTCTGGAGCCCCGACGGCAAGTTACGATGGTCTTAAAGTGGATGTGTTGGTGTTGTTGCGCCTTGGTGATTAATAATTGCAAGTGGATGGAATGAGTCGATTGGGAGCAGAAATGGCGATGGATTGTCAAGGTTAAAACTCTTTGGCGGAAAAGGAAGACAGGCCCGACGTTGGTCTGAAACAGAATGAGACTTCAGCCAATTGTCGAGTCTACTGAGATTTTGTGAGAGTGAGATATCACCGGATGAGGAGCGAGTGTTCATGTCAGTGAGGTATGTCTAGCGGGGGAGTGACGAGAAATCGGCCGCCCCACCATGAGCTTCTTGGTCTAGGTGGATTTCAAATGGCTGGTGCTCTCACTGTACCTTCAGCTGGTTGGTACCTAGGTACGATGCACACAAGACGTGATCAATCCAAGTGGGGAGGACTTTCAAGCACTGACTTGACTTCAGGCTACACGAAAGTTCAATGATATTTGCGACTGGTTGGACATAAAGCGGTGATCGGCTCTAAATCTACCAATATACCTAGGAGCCTTCTCCTACACAAATCCTTCAAGGCAACAGAAGACGTCTCATGGAAATACGAACAAAATGATGGCGGGGTCGGAAGCTTGGAGGTCAGTTCCGTGCCTGCCATTTACCCCTCCATCCCACTCCGATAAGGGACTTCGGTTCTTCGCAGGGCAGGCAGGAACGACCTCTGCTAGGCGCCTTACTTTATGTTAAACCCGAAAGATCGGTCACGTGTGGACTGGGACGTGCTGCAAGTCATCTAACCCTGTTCGGACTAGCCGCGGATACCTAGAGATACTTTGCCTTCATCCAAAGCGTTCAAGGCGACGTACCTACACTGTGGGCCTGCTTGACCAGGGAAGGTGGGGCTTAAGCAGATCCATTGCGACTCCCGCGACATCTCCAGACTAACGCGTCGTGAATTCGACATTGAGAACCCCAGCGGCAATGCCTACAACTTCCTCGAGATTAGTATCACCACTTCCTCCCACCACAACCACCACTTTCCAGACGCCCTCCAACTGACCCGACACAAATTTCGTTGGCTCGTCTCATTCTTCTTTCGGTACTTTCTTTACAAAGTCTTTCCCGTATCCACCAATTAAGTCCTGCTAGTGGCTGGTCTTCTTCACAATCGTCGACTGCCTCTTATTTGGTGGAACAAACGCATACTCATTTTTGTCGAGACTTCTCGGACTGTCTAGGCCTCAGAGATACAGCCTAAGTTACGAAAATAGGCAGTCAACACAGCTTTCTTCTTCTCCCCTGTGTTCGACTCATCCGATCAAGGACTCAAGGACCACTCATGCGCTTTGTTGCCCGTCTCGAAATTCGCCGTAAGTCTAGCTTCACAATTGTTGCCGTCTATTCCTCTCACCAAAGCCCGACACTGGTTCTTTCATCAACATCTTTCACCAGTGGCCCATACCTTTGAGGTCGCTACATATCACTGCAGCTATCTCTCAAGCTTTTCGCCTTTTTCTCCCACAATCTGCCTTCATACACATATTGCTTCAAGCTCGCTGGACCACTAAACCCTGTTTTCACTACCCCCGCTTGAGATCTGTGTCCTTGATACCTCCTTTCCTCTGTCTGGTGCTAACTATTTTCTCATTTTCTAGCCAATCCCATGTCCTAAGCGGCAGCCACCATGGAGGGCAATGAGGATGATCCCTTCAATTGGGACGTTGAACGGCTGGTACATGAGCTATGCACCGCTGAAAGTCGGCCATGGCATCCGAAACTTGCGAGCAAGAGGCCCAACCCGGTGGTGCTCGCAAAAGCGCTACGTGAGCATGATATTGACGGCGAGACGCTTCTCACCTACGAAGATGTCATGCCCCCTCTTGACGGGCTTCTCAGGGACCTCGGCATCGTCAAGATCGTCCACAAGATGACGCTTGTCAAAGCCATCAACTATCTAAAGTCGAGAAGCCACGGTTATCGTCATCAAAAGATTGAAGTGGCAAAAGAGGAGGCAGATAGCCAAGAAGGCTCGCTGGAGCTGCACATCAACGGCGAACCGGAGCTCGCAGCCTTAGATCCTGGTACCACAGAAGACACCCTAACGACCGGCACAACGCAAGACGTCACCATGCGCGGCACTACGAATCAAGATGTATTGGCCTCCGTCGTTGAAGAGAAAGACATACAGACGAGCGAACCACCTCAGAAGAAGAGAAAGATGGCGCCGACTTTGATCACGACCACTGTCACCGGGATTGGCAAAGTGCCCGTCAGTACCGCAGCTGACGATGTTGTTAGTCGGAAACCTGTGACAGCAGATACTCGGCTGCCTTTATCGAATGCGAACCCCAGAAGAAGCAGCGGAAAGACACCCCCGGCCATCCCGACTGAAACAGACGACGCTACCTCTCGGGAGCTCGATAGAGCAAGCATAATGCCTTCTTCCTCGCATACAGCTTCCAGAAGAACCTATGGGGATACTCAGCAAGTGGACCAAAAGCTTGCCTCAAGATACCATTCGCTGGGGGCGTACTTTGGACCCGATGCGCTCATTATCAGCCGTCAAGTCCCTCAGTCAAGTCTTGTACCTGGTGCAAGCTCCGCAGATGAGGATAGCAACACATTCAACTTCGTTGCTAGGGGATTGATTCCCGCCGGACACATTCGGCAAGTCCATCGAGCGTTGCGACGACTACTGCGCACAAATGACAAGTCTGTGATGTTGTTGCGCAACGGTGTATCTCCTTTTGTGGAGCCTGAAGAGGAAGATGAGCTTCTTCCGGTATTTGGAGACTCCGATGACGACGAAGGATACGACACAGAGACAAGGGACGCCATTGAGGAAGAGGAAGAGGAGAAAAAGCAAGAAATGGAACTCAAGTCTCATCACCTGACTTCGGATGATGTTGAACGTGTACTAAAGGAGGAAATACAGCGGATCGAAGCCTCTTGGGAGGAGAGAAAACTACTCAAAAAAGAGTGGAAGGCCAACGCTATCTGGAACAGGGCCCGGCGCACTGGTCTCGTCCGACAAATAGCGAGTGCCACATCTCGACTCGAGGCTCTCAACAACCGCATAGAAAAGCTTTGTCGAGAGATCAAACTAAACGAATGGCCGGCCGAAGATCAGCTGCGCAGACAAGCACGGTGCCTCGAGTCTAGCGTTGAGGACCGGAGAGCTGAAAAGTGGCTTCTCGATACCTTACGAGGACCCGAACCTATCCGACCACTGACGATGCCTAAGCAACGGCCAATTACAGTCCCGCGGCCTGATCTCTCTGACGAGGACGGCGATCTTATTACCAGCGGCGACGACGACGACGACGACTTCGTAATTGACGATGATGATGAATCGGCGATTGACTATGTGAGAAACGAGCTTCAGCTCGTGGCGAGCGGGACTCGCTCAGAAAGCCCTATGGATTTGGACGACCCTGAGGAGGTGCCAATGCAGGAGCCTCAACCTCTGCGATTGCTTAAGGATGAGTCTCCGGTCGACGCTCTGATCAATATGAAATCCGACCTTGGCGTCATCGACTTGACAATGGTTGACTCCGAACCTGAGAACGAACCTGAGAATGAGCCCGCGCCCCCTGAGGATAAGCCTGAGCTTGCGGCTCCTGAGACGGATTTCATCTCTCTAGTCACGCCTGAAAAGCCAAGGGCATCGGCAGCCGCAACACCAGCCCCTGAGAGCGATGGTGACGAGCAGCCACAGCCAACCCAGGAACAGCTAGAAACACCATACGACCAATATGGAAAGATTGGGGACATCGCGCCGACGATATGGAGAAGGCACGGAGACAACAAGAGACTTTTGATCTGTGTCATCTCACGGCTGACTCCGCGATGGAGAGAGGCCTTCTTTCACATTATCCAGAGCATGGATCCAGCTGATATCTGGACGGACTTCGTGATTACAGCACTTGAGGATTCGCCTGAAAATCACAGCCAAGAAAGTGCGGTCGAGCTCGGCACCGTCACTGCCCGTTTGTTCAGAGTCTTTGCACTCTGCAAGCCGGCGGCTGCCAATACCATCACCAGAAGGCTAAACAACAAAATCAAGGTCAGGAAGATAAAGGGTAAGGTAGATCAGTTTGACGACTTCTGCCATTTCGTCAAGACGGGTGTACTGCCCAACTTTCCTGAGGGTACCCGAGCCAGCAGAACTGGCCGCCGTGGAAGCTTCGATACCGGGGAGTCCCAGGGGGATTTTACCGACGACGATATCGAAGATTCTCCGTCTAAGAAACGGAAGACTTTGGTAGCCATGGATCAGACCGCTATAGATCTCCGCGAAAGCGACCGACGCCGGAGAGAAGAGCAGGAGCAGCGACGGAAGGAATTGCGCAAGAAGCTGGCAGCGTCCGACACCATCTCGAGCGACAAGTCGCGTCTCATTATCAACGAAACCAAGGGAGATGACGAAGGCTTGATCTACATTAACAGCGAAATCGGTCAACGCATCAAGGACCACCAGATTGAAGGTGTCCGCTTCCTCTGGAACCAGATCGTCTACGATGCCAAGGTGCGGCAGGGATGTCTCCTCGCTCATACCATGGGACTCGGCAAGACCATGCAGGTCATCACATTACTTGTTGCCATCGCCGAGGCCGCTCGATCAAAAGACGAGTCTGTTCTGTCACAGATTCCAGAGGACCTTAGACAGTCCAAGACTCTGGTACTTTGCCCGGCCTTACTTGTCGACAATTGGATGGATGAGCTGTTAATGTGGGCTCCTGATGGTGTCCTGGGTCACTTCTACAAAATGGAAGCCGTCGTCAATGCACTAGAGAGAGCCCCCATGATCCGGGACTGGGATAAAACCGGCGGCGTCATGATCATTGGCTACGATATGTTCAAGAAATTGGCCGCTCCCTCAGGGGGGGAGATACTGACGCCCCTGGAGAAGTCGATTGCGCACATACTCACAGAAAGCCCTAACCTTGTTGTCGCGGATGAGGCGCACAAAATGAAGAACCCCGAT